ATTCTAATGATGAAGAAGAAAAAAATATTAGTGATAGTGATATAGAAGGTGCAGAAAGTGGTTCTGATGATTTACCCAATGATAAAGCTTGGGGTCAACTAAGAAAATCATTTTATAACACGGATTACTTAGATAAGGATCATGGAGGTAACATAATTATATTTTATTATTTTATTTTATACATAAATAAATTTTAATGAAATGTATTAAGGTTTTGAGGGAGAAGAGGACGAAGAAACTGCTAAAATGGAAGAAGAAGAAGCACGTAAAATCCATCAAAGAATGATGTCTGAATTAGAAAATGTAGACCTTGACAGTGAACTTTTTATTGTAAGTAAGTTATGATAGATAAAATATATTTACAGAATGTTTAATTTATTGATATCAATTTTTCTAGGGGACTAAAGTAACTGAAAATCTAAAAGAAGGAGCTGACACAAATGATATAACACAAATGATGACAGTTAAAAAAGATTTGAGTTCAATGAGTGATCGTGAAAAAAAAAAATTGTTGATGAAAGAATCACCTGAACTTTTTGGACTAATCACAGATTTCAAATGTGATTATTTCTTAACATTTTTTTCTTTTAAATAAGAATTCAAATAATCTATCATATACTTAATAATATAATTATTTATTATTATATTATAGCCTACATGGCCAGTGCACAAGATAAATTATCTCCTTTTTTGAAATTGGTTAAATCTGGCATCATACCAAATAGTCGATTTACAGAATACGTGCAGTGTTATTATGAAATAATATTAAAGTAATAATAATATTTTATACCAATAAAAACTGTTAAAAATATTATTTAATTTTTTTTATTGTTTTAGTTATTGTACAAATATTGGCTTCTATTTTCTTATGAAATCTAATCGTAAACCAGTGCAAAATCATCCTATTATGAATAGATTACTTCGGTACCGTGAAATGTTATGTGAACAAAATAAACATTTTGAAACGTTAATATTACCTCAGATTGATCAAATATTATCTGATATCAATATAATTGAGTATGAAATTGTTTAATTTAAACTAATTATTTTAAATGTTTAATTGTTTATTTGTTTTTTTTTTTAGGTCTAATTCTAAGGCAAGTAAAAATAAATCTAAAAAATTACTTAATTTATTAACAAAACCAACACATAAAGCTGTTCAAATAATTAAGCCCAAGGAAAATAATCTGGAAAATGTGATTGAGAATCAACCAAATAAATTTGAGGATAGTGCAGATGAAGAAGAAGATGCAACAGAAGTTAAAGGTATAATACTAATTTAATATAAAGCTATAATAAGTATATTGGTGTTTTCATAACAAATTTTATATTTTATAGTAGAACCTTTAGTAAACACTGATGAAAAACGTGGTATAACCTATCAAATAGCTAAAAATAAGGGACTTACACCTCGACGTAAGAAAGAACTTAGAAATCCAAGGGTGAAAAATCGTATGAAATATCGTAAAGCAAAAATTCGTAGGAAGGGACAGGTTYGCTTAATGAATATTCAAATTTTATGTTTGGAGTTTCATATTATGAATATGAGTATTAAAAATTATACATTTTTCATTTCAGATTTCAGAGCCACGTAAAGAAATTCGTCGTTATGATGGAGAAATATCTGGTATTAAAGTTAATCTGTCTAAGAGCATAAAAATTAAGGCCTAATTGTTTATGATTTTATTTGTGGTATATGATTTTTTTAAAGAAAAAGTCAATATTTATATGTTTTTAAATAAATAATAATATTTAGCCTAAATCAAGTTGCATTTGTTCTTGAAATAAAATAAAATATTGTTTTACTTACTACTTATACATTGTATTTGTTTGTGATAATTTGTTAGTTATTTACTATTTTCAATTCAGAACTAAAGTGAACCATTAGGCTTACAAAAATTGATCATTTGGAACTTTTAAATATATGAAATAAGGACCATATTTTCAATTATTTAAATTGTGTATACCATTTAAGGAGGATCCTATGAAAATACAAACTTTTTATCTTTAAATAAGAATTACCCTTTATCCTATTAATTATTAATCTGAATACTTGAATATATTGATATATTTAAATTTAAAATAAAATGGTAGTTTTTGGGGTTTTCAACTTTTTGTTTAAACGATAATAGTAGTTTTTTCAGCTATGATTTGAAACTTAATATTATAAAACTCAACATTTTATAATTTGTAAAAATGTAATAATAAATCCCAGATCTAAATATCCAATATTACATGGACAAGCTTTGTTATTTTAAGGATGTTCTTGAATAACTGTAATGGTGCCAAAATGTAACTTTTTTCATGTTAAAATAAATGTATTTACTCTCGGATAGGATATCTCAAACTGACATTCAAAATCTTTATGTTTTTCCTTTCTCCTTGTACAATTTATTCCTATTTCATTTACTTGTATTTTATTTAAACTAGTGATGTAATTATAAGGAGGATATATCCCCCAAAGCCATTTTTTTTCAACTATAATTCAATTCTCATGAACACTTGGTTATACAATCTATTGTAGTAATTTTGCTATACCTAATATTGATAACATATATTTTAAAGAATAGTAAAAATTATAAATCTTTTATGGATAGAACAATCGTTTTATACAGTGGCATGTTTAGGAATTAGAGGATAGAGGCAACCTAAGCCTATAACATTTTGTTTTTATAAAAGGGTAACTTGAAGATGAATATATTCATTACATATAAGAATAATAGATAAACAAAATCACAAATTAATTTAAAATATTTGGCAGCCAGTTAGGTGTTAAAATAAGACTTTTATAATTATTATTAGTTACTAGTTTTACGAAGTACTAAGTTAGTAAGTATTAATCTATGATAGCATTAAATTTGAGTAATCTATGAAGCTTATTGGAAAAAAGTATTAATTTTGGTTGTTTTTTTTTTCATTAAAGAAACATATACTTTATAGCCTTTGCTGTGTATTAATCTAGAACCTATAACTAATTAATAGAAATCTTATAATAATTAGTAGGTAATAAATAAACTAATAACCAATATGTATATAGTATATATGATCTATAAAGGCAAAAGGCACTATGAGAAAATCCGGTTTASAGTTTACYATGTTAAGTGTTTATAAGCTTAAAGCTCTCAGTTATTGCCGATAAAAGTTGATAGTTTGATATCATTAATAACTGAAATTAGCAACTATCATTGTGTTCTCATGTGATGCATATGTTTAACTTACAACAATTGAGTCTCTAACATCCAGACCACAGTACCAAATCACAAGACAAAATATGTAATACTGAAATTATAGTTTAATCTTTAATAGAATATTATCTATGCTATCGCTATGTCTACTACAAAAATTTAAATAAGCTTAATATGATGGAAGGTGGGTTRAAAAGTTTATTATGAAATGAGTAATTTTTAACCGAAATACCTACTAGTAGGTCGATTGGGGTACTATATACTGTACTAGGTAATTTCTTTTATGTGAGYAGTGCAACTGAGCAACTGTTATTTTTTCAAGATTGGCAGATTGCTGCCATTAAAGCTAAGCAACCAATTTTTCAMACTTCAAAGAGGAGAACCAGAGAATATTTACTGTGCAACATTGTTTTTATGATTTCGATACCACAAATACGAAAAAAAGTTCGAATTGTTTAAACTTTAAACATTTATTATTTCAAACTTGAATAACTTTTTTACATATTTGTGATGTCGAAATAATAATTTAAAAACGATGTTGCACGCARTAAATGTCCTGTTTATAGATTGAAATTTTTTTTTATCATTCCCTTTAAAAAAATCATAAGTATTTCACTATGCAGTTCGATGATATTATATCCCGGCATAACGACGTGTCAAGTATGTATACATTGTATATAGTTTGTACAATAGTATATCTGCATATTCCTTAAACGCGAGGTTCCCGACTAGTGGGGGCACAGAAGTTCAAAAGTGKGTCGTGATTATATTTTTTTGGAGAGTAATCGAAAAAAAWACCCACACTACAATATTACTGACAACTGTTACATGGAATTGATTTTAATATCGAATTGCAATCAGGTTCAGGTATATTATATATTTATGTATTATAATTATCATTCTAAAATGAATATAATATATTACCTAMCTATACAATATTATAAGTAAATTCTTAAAATATACTGCAGCGCTGGCGGGAGGATTTTTGGGGCCAAGGGTAGATAGTTTTCACGGGTCCTAGAATTTTTTTTTTTGGTAGGGACAACATTTTTTTTAGCACGTCATGCAACATCACTATATAATTAGTGTCTCATAGGTACAGCCCGATTTTGATGGTCAAAATTCGCTCCTACAACATAATAATTTAATAGACATACTTGCMAATTAAAGGTCTATTTGYGATCCCTACACTTGTTCAAACCAAAATKTTTACAACATACTTTTGTAAAAATGTAGATTGACACCTAAAGCTATCTGTATCTGCCATGGCAGATTTTTTCATGGGCCCTATAGGCACAACAATTTTTCTTAACACGTCAAAATACTTATTTTTTTGAAAATTTTTATTTTTTATATAACTACCTTAAAATATTTATTGAAATTTAAGTATACATAACCAATTAAAATTTTTCAGCGAATTATTTTTGTATCGTAGTCGGGCGTTGGCATTATAATTTTTTTTTACTCTCACTCGTTTATTAAATTTTGAGCGAAGCGAAGAATGTATTGGTTGTACAATGATGTTTATTGCTTTTTCTTTTTCTTTTTTTATTC